AAGTCCGCAAACTTTGTGCGGCGCTGCTTTGAAAGTCCGGGATGCTTGACCTGCACCAAACAAAACTTCGCCAACCCCACCCCGCCCCCGATGAACCTCTGGAAATTCTCCGAAAGCTCAATAACAGTAATAATGGTAATAACAATAATAAGAATATTATGAATATAAGTAGTAATGATAGTAATAATAATTCTGTATTGTTTTGTCCCTTTTGGCCTCGACGCGAATCGCCGCAATCCCCGCAACCCGTGCTCGGGGCAGGCACGGCACATGCCAGCCGCAAGGGAAGACTAATGCGAATCATGACGATTCGTAGATGCATTATATATAGTCTAAGCCTATAGGCGGATTAGATTCAAGCTGCATGGATTCCCGTGCGAATGTTGCAGCAAGTTGTCTGTGGTAGCATGGTTTTCGCCTGCTTCCCCTGTCAACGGGTTGGAAAACAACTCCACCCTGGCTGAATGAATGCCAGTGCGCATTCCGACTGCTGGCTAACTATGCTGATAGATGCTGACATGAACGTAGTATGGTGTCAAACGAACAACGCCGCATAACTAGATGTAAAGCCCACAGACAGGTGCATCAACGCTAGACTGGGCAAGGACGCACGCTTGCAGCACGAACACATAACTGCTGCAGATGCAGCTTGCGCGCTCTCCTTGTTTGGGCAAAAGACTTGCTTCATGTCATGTTCTTGCGCTGTTTCTGATGCTTTGCATCAAGCTCGCGCAGCATAGCGGCATATCGCATGCGACTCAGGTCAAGGGAAAGGGTCCTTGCTGGTAGCATAGTCTTCCCGCATTTTGCGCAGCCATTCGGGCTCGTTCTGTTTATCCAACTGTTGCAAAAGCACTTTGTAGCAGTGCTGTAACGTCTTGAATGATGCTCCATCTTCCTGTCCTCTGGGTGACACGTCCGGGTGCAATTCTTTCGCCAACCTGAGATAAGCGGTTTTCAGCTCTTGTTTGTTCAAGGTGCTGTCAGGGGCATATCCAAACAGCTCCAAGCAGTAGCACTTGTCCAACGTCGGATCCATTGGTTGGTATGTGGAGGAATACCTTTGGACCATTTTCTGCCAGTAAGGCTTGTGGCCACGAAATAGACTTGCTGTCAGGCGCATGGCTGGGAATGGCTCGTAGCAGTACTTCTGTATTGCTGACTGCACACCTGCGTCATAGCTATACTAGACTGTGGCCCTGCTTCACTCAGCATTCTTAAAACATCGAGTTCTGTTCATTGAATTTGTCCCGTAGCGTGGCACTGCATGTTGACTGAATCCTGCTATTGCTGATCGGCAACATTCGGCATGGGGTTGACGGGTATGCAGCTGCTTGTAGCTCCTTCTTTCTTCACAGGTAACGAATGTGAAAGGTCGACAAAGCAAAACCCCATGTAAGTGATTTGCCGTCCGCGCACTCGCACGTCCGCGCTTCCTGACACAGAAAGCACGTCGGCGGTTGGCATCAAACCGCTGAAGCTCTTACCTTACTGAGTCCCTATTGAGCAAGTGAGCGCTTGTCCTGGAGGCAGTCTTGGCCTCCTGCTTGTCTAGCCCGGCTCTAATTTAATGCAGTGTCATCTTGTCTAAACTTGTGTTGCGCTAACGTTGTTATGCAGCCTCCATCGTATAGCACAAGCACAGCACGGCAAATTCTCCTCTTGCCCGGGAGCTATTTCGACCTCGCGCGAAGGGTCTTCCTTGCTCTCCAAAGTCCATACTGTAAGCAGATTGTAACAAGCTAGACGCTTGCTGCAAGCATACTGTAAGCACACGATGAAGTATTACATTACCCAGATGAAAGTAACCATAAAGGAGAATCTGCCATTGAGCGGGATCTGCTATCTGGATCCTCAAGGGGTGTGCCAGAAGACTATCATGATTTGGAACACCGCGTCGATGGCAGTGCTGGCCGTCTTCGTGTCGGCAGACGACAGAATCAGAATTGCCTTAAGCAGGCAACGCGGCAGTCCAGCGTGGCACAGTATAGCATTATAATACCAGTGTACCACTTGGAGACAATCTCTGAACCGGAAGGAGCACTGAGGAGCCGCGAACCAGTCTCAGTTTAGCAGTGATGCGAGCCGCGGCAGGCAGAAGGCACAGCGGCTCCTGCTCCCAGCCCTGCTTCCGTCGGCCACGAAATGCTCCTCCCCCCGAGCCCACGTGGGCGCGCCCTCCGCAGGCTCCGGCTCCTCCTCCAGAGCCGGAGTCGCTGCCCGTCGTCCGAGGACCTGCGGCTCCTGGGAGTCAGGGACGTGCTTAAAACGTAGCTGCTTTAAGAATTTAAAGGCTCAATTCTCAAAGATACTAGAGTAATAGGACAGCTGGGAGCACCTGGGTCTGGACCATGGAGTCAGAGCTTCCAGAGCTCGACGGCAGGAAAGCAAACTCCTCAACGTGGACGTGCCACGCAAGCCTGCCAGCTGCTGCTTTCGTGGCGACAACCAGCCGGGGCGGACCACAAACAAAGACCATGACTTGACCTTGAAGGGCGCCTTCGTCTGGAAAAGTCTCGCTCAATTTCACGAGCCAGTCCCCGGCGTCCATCCTGTTGCGATGGGCCTTTAGGGGGAGTGGCCGATCGCTGGCTTCGCCGGCTCCCGCGATTTGCACAGAACTTCTTGGGTCCAGGTGGGGCTCCAGCAGCGGCGCCGCCTTTTCCAAGAGGGCCAGGCTCTTCAAGGACCAGAAGACACAGACCTTTTGAGCTTTCTGAGCTGCTGCTGGTGCCAAGGACAAAGCGGGTGTGACTCCGACCCCACCGAGTACGAAGACCATTCGAGCAACTCCCGGCAAGGGCCATGGAGGCAGCCCGTAGGGTCCTTGCAGCTGTAGTCGCAGCTCCCGGCCACGCTGGCAGGCTTTGGCAAGCTTGTCTGTGAAGCCGCTGTGGACCTTCATGAAGATTTGCAGCTTCCCGTCTCCTTCTCCAGGTACCAACGTGAAGGGGTGAGGAACTGAAGAGATTTGCTCTGCAAGGAGGTGACCCCATTGTCCAGCCTTGAAGGAGAAGCCTGTGGCTTCCAGTGATAGAAAGAGATGCTTGCCAGATCCATCGGATGCGACGCTTGCCGATCGGACTTCCACATGATACGTTGACGCGCGAACATACAACTTCTGAAGCCCATACAAACACAAGAGTGAAGCACTCAACGTTGCCATCGAGACCGACGCAATCGTCTGCAGCTGCACGGCATGGCCCAGCATGTGTGCCAGGGCGAGGAAGTACCCGGCAACGCTCAGGAAATGTAGCTGCTTGAATTGGTCGTATGGCAGCCTGAGCAGCCTGGCTGGTAGAACTGCCATGATCATGGCGAGGAGACTTGCAAGCCCACAGAACCAAAAGGGATTGGACAAAACCCGAAGAATGCCATTCTCTGCCACGTTGAGTGACCCGTGGACGCTCGTAATCCCGATCGTCAGCGCCCCACAGATGTAGTGTATGCGCCAAGCCGCCTCTCGTCTCATCAATACATAGCTGTGGATTCCAGCCCTCCAGAAAGCTCAACTAACGGTGATGAGTGCGCTGAGCCCCGCTGCGATGCCGCTGGAGTTCCGTGGGAAAGGTAGCAGGAACAATGAAAGGCACGTGACAGCAAGGCAAAGCACCCCAAGGACATTGACCAGGGTCCACTGCCGGAAAGGTTGGCCGTAAAGGAAACGTGCGACACTGCCCCCGCACCAATTGTAGGACACACACTCCGAGATCAAGCGGCTGAACCTCGCAAGCACGGCCAGCACGCCAAAGGAGACGGCAGTCGACATGTCCAGGCTTTGCAGTGACGAAGTCTTCGGTGGAAGTCTTACTTCCACAATAGACTCACAAGCCGAAGATCCGGCAGCTCCGGTAGGTTCGCAGCTGTAGTGGCCAAATGCGCGCCATCTCGGGCTGCCCAGCTCGAGCACGTTTTGACATTGCGAGCCGTAACCGCAGGGCGTCCACCATGTGTCTGCTTGGAGGTCCTCAAGGCAGGAGGGCTGAGGTCCGGATGGCGGACATCTCAGCTCCGTGCACGATCCGGCCAGAACCCCCTTCGTGCAGCTCGGATAACAGCTCTCACCTGGTAGCAGCTCCAACACCTCCGTCTCGTTACGGAGGCATGCCCCGCCAGGAACTTCCGGCAGCAGGCAACGAGGAGCTTTGCTTGGCCAGCACCAGGCAGCTCTGACAGGAGCGAAACCTTTCAGCGTCAAAGGCAAGAAGTGTACGGAGGCCGATGCTAGGACGGCAACGATCCAGCTGGCCGACCATGACATGAAGTAAAATCTCGACAGCCAAGGTGCTCGTACAGTGAGTTCTACAGTGGTTTCTGGGACCCTGGACGGATTTCACCGCTCGACAACCATATTCCCAGACGACTCGTGGGTGCCTTGCGTGATTATGGGGTCATGTATCCATGCCCTACCCTACCCTGCACCTTCTAGTAGTCGTCGTCGTCGTCGTGGTGGCAGTCTTTGTCACCCACTTGGCACGCCGTCGACAGCATTGCGGGTCTTGATTGGCAACCGGATTGAGAGATGCAGCATCCACCCAAACAGTAACAACAAAAAAACAAAACCCAAGTAAGTCAAAGGGAAACGTTCATATCTCTGAGGAAAACCCACCGCTCTCCAAGTCTTGTTGAAGAATCAAGTGGCTGTCTACACAGCCAGCCCTTGAAGCCGTCCTGATGGGAAGTCCTCCAAGCACGAACCCAACCACAGAAAGAACCCTTTTAGGCAGCTCACCAGCAGATGACCAAACACCACCGCATGTGCTGTATTGTAGTGGTAGTCGTCGTCGTTGCAGCAGCACTAGTCGTCATCGTCGTCGGTTCGGGTCGCACCACATCAGGCAGCACCCTAATCTCCAAACATTGCCAGAGTTGCGAGAGTCTAAACTCCAAACTCAGAGCCTCGTGTTTCGGATGTTCAGAAACATAGTACGGCGGTAGAATGAGAAGTAGAAATAATGTATGAGAGTAGTACAAGTCATAACAGCAGTAGTGGTCGTAGTTGTCGTTGAAACAAAAGCACTAGTACTGGGAGTAGGAGTTGCAGTAGCAGTCGTATGAACAACCACCACCACCACCACCACGACACCGAAATCTCCCCAACGCTAGGCGGAACTAGCTGATGCTCACTAGGATTGTGCGAAAAGATGCTGGAGCCCCTGCGGCACATCTAGCGGATCAAAGCCGTTGGCGCTTTCAAGAACAATCATGCGTTCTCTCCTGCGGCGTTGTTGCCAATCTGGTGAAGCTCTACACACCAACCCTCGCTTGATGAGCATACCCATGCTCTGATCTTGGATCCTATCAAAGGACAAGCGAGATGTCCTTGCTTTTGGGAGTCGGGATTGCTGGAGGGGGCCTTTTTGATGTGGTTCGATGTCCCCTTCACCCCATAACACAGTTTAGTGGAGTATAGTATAGTCTACTGTAATGGGCTATATCAGCCTATACTGGTCTTCGCTATTTTGCACAACAGTACCATAAAGAAGGTGGCAGAGGAGGATAAAGTAGAGTAGAATGGACAGGACTGGGGTAAGGTGCAGTGTGTCGTAGCATGAGAATTCAAGATGCAGGGCTTCAGCTTCAGATGTTGGAATCCTCGTCCCAACGAACCGATGAAAATTCCGTGGCCTTCTGAGCCTACTATTGGACCATGCTTCTCTCTCAAGGGGCGTGGGGCTTACGCTGAAGCATTGGGGAGGTTTTCGCGAAAGCATCCTGGGCCCTGAACACAGCAACCAGTCGCACGTCCTCCTTCGGCACAAGAAGAATTTCAGGATGATGCTATGGAGCGGAACAAACTGCACATATCCTCCAAAACAAACTTTATCAGACAAGACATTGATGCTTTTATCTGATTGCTGGATTTCCCCACGACCATCCACAACATACACCACAACAACAGGCCATGACTTTTCCACCGCCTGCCCGGCACGATTCTCACTACCCTTGCCATGCTTCCTACTTTCGTCCAATACTTTCACAAGTGGGCTCCAGCTCCTTACTCATACTCTGCGATCCTACACTGAACCTGAATAAGTTAAAGGATTAGAGCGTGCCATCCTCAAGGGCATCGCTATGCAAGGGCAGGCCAGAGGCACCCCATGTTGCAAAACCCTATCGGGCATGTGCGG